TATGTAAACTTCTATAATTAGTGAGGAACTCTGAGCTCAGCTGAGGAAAGCGAACATATATTACAACTATCCATTACTAACGACTAAGAAATATGTTTACCTCCTAAAAAGTCCGGCAGCTGATCAGGATCGACGACACTGTGAAGCGTCGGCTTATAATTAGATCCCAGAACGACAATTTTCGACCTGACATCACAACTGCATCGAAAGCCAGCCAGCGAGGGGCCTCCCCACCTCGTTATTGGATCCACCATCGGGCTCACCACCTTCCATATTGCTGTGAAGATAAAAGGTGCGTTCACAACGAACCTGATAACCAATTAAAAACGTCATTCATGAATCGCTTCGCTCCGCCCTACATAGTTCCGAGCACTTCTGGATAGTTATCGTTGGCTACTTTGGCGAGTTTCTGATCAAGTAAACACATCAACGATAAGCCATAGCACTCAGCGGTCACAAGAAATACTATAGCCTCAATTGAATAGCCTCTAACATTTCGTGAGAGAAGACATCAGCCTCATCGTCGAGAAAATCACAAAGACTGTCAAGGACGCCAAGTCATCGCTGGAGAGACGAGATTGTTAAATCACATAGTTGAATTGAGAATTAATTTCCATCGAAAATACACTGCAAAACCGCGAGTCCACCGATTACAACAAGCGCATTCAGAAGATTCCGAAACGTGAAACTCCCAAGAGCCACCAACAGAAGTGTGTTTCGCGTAAGTGCAAGGAAGGGACGCTGAATACGATACGATCAATTCTCTTACGAATGACCAACCCTTAGCATCACCTGCATCATGTTCTTTACTTGAGGAGTGAATTGTTTCAACCCCAGCCCTTTGAGGTCGATAATAGTACAAGTCTTGTCCACACCGCACGCTGGCAGTCTGTACTCAATCAACTCTTCGTATCTACAAAAGTTACACAATCGACGACGTTTACAACTGCCACGCCCAAGAAGAACCACGACACCTCCCCCTTACTCTTGGACCCAATACCGCAGCAACCGATCGAATGTGGTAATCTTCATCAGCTCCCCAGCATCTACCATGCCGGTCCTCTCGATGTACCTATTCCTCTTAAATCCTATCTGACTGCTGTTATGTGATGAGATTTGAAGTACAATGGAGGTTCACCCGTTTTACGTAAAGTGGCGTAAAACTCGGCGAAAAACGCGATATTCGCGGTGATATGCAGTTGTCCTAAAATGTGTTTTTCACTAGTGTTTTTCATATCACTAGGGTGGTGAAACTCCAATACTCTTTATCAGTGTGGGAGAATATGCACGTAGTCAACGACATATGTAGGGGAAATTTTGAGGATGAGAATTGAGGAATTCACATTGGCTTCTACCCAAGCGTGTATATAAGCTTCTATAATTAGTGGGGAAACTTCTGGACTCGGCTGAGCAATACGATCGTTTATTCCAAGACTACTCTTTCTATTTGAGACGACAGATAACAATTAAATATAAGCTGTCAATGAGAGTAAATATACAATTATTAAACTATAAGTAGTACAATGAAATTTCACCCCTAGTGATATGAAGAACACCAGTAGAAAACCTATTCGCGAAAATCGTATGTGAGCCGAGAATAACGTGTAAACCATGTGATGCGTTTTACGTGATATTGTGTGATTTTCCGGTGTGGTTCGCGCCGAGTATTTACAATTCACTTCATATCGCGTTCTTCACATGGAGTATCACGCCACTTCACATTAAACGGATGAAACTCCAATTCTCTGCAATGTCGAATGAAATTATACAATACTAATATCTATACATTGGAGTTTCACCCTAGTGATATGAGAAACACTAGTGAAAAATATATTTCACAACTACTGCGTATCACCGCGAATATCGCGTTTTTCACGCCACTTCACGTAAAGCGCGTAAAATTTCATGATTATAAACGCTATCGGTAATATCAGTAATGAAAACCATAATAAGAGATCCATATTTTTACAATACAACATTATGTAGCAATTATCAATAATAATATATATTATTTTTCATATCCATACCGCACCAATTACTACACTGGTCGATTCTGTTTGTCCGTTCCATGATAGCCATGTGGATACAACCGCTTAGCCTCCTCGTACTCCGGGAAGTCAAACCTGACGTCTGCAATTGCCAGCACACACAGATGGCTCTCTCGATAACTCAGTGAAATTATTACTGCTCTTCATCGATAAGAAGCCAATCTCATATACTACTACCCGTTTAGCCGCAAATCGTCCGTTCCGAATTCCTTACGCCACTCCAAGTGATTTCCAAACATTTTCTTGGCATTCTGAGAATGAAAACTCCTCCATTAGAATCTCCCATAATAGCAGCTAATAGGATACTTTATCACCTGATAGACGCATTTTCGAGCCTTTACAAAGCGCCCTATGTAATGATCATCGAAGATGCACTCTCCATCGTTTCGAACAGTGCTTTCTTCAATCTCCTCTGCGAAATCCATACGAAGTTGAGCTATCTGCGGGGAAAATCCACCACTGAGGATCTTCCACATTTTCACTACAATTTCCTCTTCCGTTACAGGGTTGGGTTGCAAGTCGGTACTGCTGGTCGGCAGAGACGGCCGATTTTTCCGAGGGGTCATTGAGAAGCAACGAACTATGGCAAAAGCATCCCCAGAAAAAGACCAACTGTCGCCTCGACGAGTGGTTTATGTTAGACGATCGAGATCGACAATCACCATGGACTCTTAGTGTTAAAGTAAACGTTCGCTTACCGCGGCTGAGCTCAGGAGTTTCCCCATTCACTATAGCAGGCTTACAAACGAATTTGGGTAGGAGTATGCAGAACCCAATGAGAATTCCCAAAAATTTTTTCACAATCTATATATTGTCATCTGCATATGTAGTTTACCATGTGCTCGTGCTGACTTGAGTTCGCTTGGGAAAAGAGTGTCTCCTTTTGGGCCCAGGGGGGTTCACTAAAAGCAATACGAGTCATTCCCTACTAGTACTTCACTACTCAATGAAAGTCAACAATCAGTGAGCATCTAGCGCTGTCGAGAAATGATAGACTTCATATAGATTCCAACAAGGCGATATGTCTACTGAAGCACTTGAAACCAAGTACTCTTCCACAGAGATGATCTCGAAAAGAGAAGGATAACGACATCGGGTGTTTTCTCGGGAATATTATACAACCTAGTGGAGCCTATCTTGCTCAGCGGGTTTGGCTACGTCGGGAAGTGGAGAAATTTTGGTATATAAAAATCTCAAATTAATTAGATAGGCAATTATTCGAAGGTTTCAAGGGAAAGAAACGGGCTTGTTTTCGACTATAGGATGGCAAATTGAGACGGATAATTTCGTGGCGCGTGACGGAGTTAATGACACTCCGCATGCTTTGATGTTGGTCGAGTTACAATGGATTCATTTTCAATCTATAAACGAATGAATACTCGTACGGAAACTACGAATATTTCGAATGAACATGATGATGTTCCAAATATCATCTGTTACAGAATAGCCTATCTCTCGTAGGGTTCAACAACTCAACACTCTCACTACTCACCAAGGACTATAGGCAACGATGTTAAAATAGAATTAAAGTCGTATATAGAACTACTGATGCACAACGCTAGTACGTCACCACTGAAAACTTCATGTTAAGATGAATTCTTCCTTCACTACTCGATGGTATCGAATAGCTAGCGCTGCCCACCGCTTCCTATTTTTTCGGTGGGAACAAAATTTTACACCAAGTCTGACATGGTAGACTATACGAGTCACACGTGAGACGCTCATCAACAGCCTCAGCAAACAAACAAACACAACCCGCAGAAAAACGGGTAGTACAATTTTGCGTAGTATTCTTTATTACTATGAACATTCACTACCACATTGTATTCGCTACCACTACTACTATGAACACAACACAAACGAAAAGTAAAGGCAACTTCCGAAGAAAACACTCAATGGTAAGTAACTTGTCAACTACCAAAGTCTGATGACTACCACTCGAACGACAATGGAATAGCCACATCAGTGATGACTACCACATCTTGAAAAGCGGCTTACAATTGTCGAGTTGTTGAGATCGGAAACGCCTCTATTATGCTATGCTGCAACGAGGGAAAGCAATAAGTTTTTATTGATGATAGTAAACGAT